CACAGCAGTACATCTGAAATAGAGGTTTGTCCTGTTCCCCCCCAAGAGAAGGCTGGCCTGAATTTCCACTTTAGACTAGTTCTTTGAGTGCCAAGAGATTGTTTCAGCAAAAAAACCAATCTGCAGACAGGTCTGCCCCCGCCCAATGCCAGCCATCGGGGGCACGAGCTCTAATTAAAATGGAAGAGTCGGTAATTTTCGGCCTATCTGGGAAGCTTAAAGCTGATGTGGTTTGAATGAAAGTAATGACTTTTGCTTAAAATGCAAATATTAATGCAAAAAAAAAAGAGCTGGGACTGACTCTTGGTGCAATTGAAAGATTATAATTTCTTTTTCATGCCTTCCCTTAGAGTAATTGTCCTTTTTCCTCCTGAAACTCTGCACTATATGCATTTAACATGCAGGGCACTTTTTTCTCTTTAATGTTTCTTCCAGTTGGCAGCATGTCTGTCTTTTTAAAGTATTAGAAACAGTGCAAATGTTAAGTATTAATAAATCTTCGAAAAAGTCGTAAGGATTTGTTGTTGGGTATGTTTATTTGTGTGGCGTGAGCCAGTTTCAGAAGCAGCTTTCTCCCAGGTCTTCTCAGTTTGGTTGTCTGGATAGTGTTTGTCACCCAGCACCATAGTCTCAATTTAGACACCAAAAGCAAAAGTGACCACATTGTGAAAAGCACACATGTTTACCCTGACACATTTGTTTCTACCAAAATAAAATTTTAAAATTTGAATTAACATGCATTGCTTTGGTTTAAGGATGCGTACCTAATTACCAAGTATTGCAATAAAAATGTGTGTGTTGAACATTAAGACATTTACAAAGGTAGGTGGAAATGTGGCTAATTATACTAGTACTGTACATGTGAAAAGCATTCCAGCTCATTGCTATTTTTTTACTAATTACAATCATTGTGAGTAAAAAGTATACTTAATGAGGAGTTACAATGGCTTGAACATTGCAAAGTTATTGTTATAATTAAGGCAAACTTATAGCAAGAAAAAATTAAAACTACCCATATTTCCTCTACCCTAATAAATCATGCTCCCCCCCCTCTTATTGACATACTAATGATTTTTTATATAGTTGCAGTGACAGTATATGAGCACCATTGAGTTTAACATTTTTCATTCAACATTCATTATGTAGAAAGCATATCTTTTTTCAATTTCCAACTGCACATTATGGCTTTCTGGGGGTGTTTGTCAAACACGCATTTGTTTCCCATTATTTATTCATTTATCTATTTTAAAATATATTTTTATTGATTTCAGAGAGGAAGGAGAGGGAGAGAGAGATAGAAACATTAATGATGAGAGCAACTCATTGATCAGCTGCCTCCTGCACGCCTCCTATTGGGGACCGAGCCCGCAACCTGGGCATGTACCCTTGACCGGAATCGAACCCAGGACTCTTTAGTCCACAGGTCGACGCTCTAGCCACTGAGCCAAACCAGCGAGGGCTGGCATTATTTTTGTTTGTTTTTAGATAATACCAAAATGAACATCTTTGCTCAAATTTAATTTTAACTTTCTGTGGGGAAGGTTTTATTTTTAGAAGAAATGGAAGAAAGTGAGATTACCATGCCAAATGTCAAGCAATTGAGTTAGTTAAGTGGTGGAGAACAGCCAGGTGAAGGAAGTCACTGTAGGTGACTCAGAGTGTCCTGCCTGGAGAAAGAAGTGAGTGAGCCATGGGGCGGGGGGAGGCAAGGGGGGTAAGGAAGGCTCACACCGCTGCACCCTGCTGTTGAATGGTGCTGAAGACACCCCAGTGCTGAGGCTGGGCAGGTGTTGAGTGCCCCAGAACATTCTGCTGGGAACCTCTTTCTTTTTCTCAACCATCATCCTTAGGAAATGGCTTTGGGTGTGAATCAGACTGACTGGGAGGCCACTCCACACGCCTCTCTTTGTCTTTGGAGTTTTCACTTCCAGTCCAAAGTCAGGGTTGGTGCATGGGAGGCGTTGGATCCGGCCTTGGCAACCTGGAAAAGCAGTGGGAGGGGAAAGAGGTGACCACACAAAAGGGCAGTATCATTCCCAAATCAGGCTGTTTCACTTCACCCCCACACACAAGGGCAAAAGTAGTACCTACAGGGGAGTCAGTCCTCCTTCCATCAGAGTTGGAGCTGGGGAAGCTGATGGAGAAAAACCAGCATTTATGAACAGCATTTGGTAACATTTGATAATACTCCTTAAACCCCAACATCTCTCCTCGTAGCATGGCTTCATACCAGAGTTTACTATTTATTTCTGTTTCTTTTCAGTTAACAAGTTCTTGCTAGTTTATCAAACTGCAATTAAATAACCAGTGAACTCTGCCTTTGCTGGGAAGAGTCTTTATAAAATAAGGGTAATATTTTAGGAAAGAGAAAAAAAACCCAGCCACAAAAAGGCTGCATTATGAGATTTCCAATTTTGCCACAATTTTATTCTCTGAGAATCCAGGGCTTTGAATAGATTGATGATGTAGGAACTGTGATAAGAAATTTTTCTATGGTAACAAATGAAAAATTGAAAACCCACTTCAGCCATATTTGAGTTCTCATTATTATCACTTTGTCTTTTCACCAATTACCTGTCTGCTGTGCTTTTCACCAGCCCAGGCTCTGTGGCCACAGTCAGCAGCTTGTAGGTTTTCTTTTTTTTGAATGTTTTTGTCTATAGCAGTATATTCCTAATGTTACCACTACCCCTTCTTACAAAAGGCATACAGAACTGTAGAAAATGTGTACATATTTTAGTAGTCAACTTATTTATCTGGAAAAAGAAAAAATACCAGTTTGCACTGAGTCGTTCTCAAAAATGTGGAGACTGAACAGTAGAGTTGAAATCATTTGACACGGGTTCACATAGGTCTCTATTTCTCTGTCCTACTAATCTTCCAGATAAGCCTGGCTTTAAAATTACTATGCATCCGGAACTGGAGAGCATTATGCTAAGTGAAATAAGCCAGTCAATGAAGGAAAAATACCACATGATCTCACTCATTCATGGATAATAAAGACCATTACAAACTTTTGAACAATAATAGATACAGAGGCAGAGCTGCCTCATACTGATTGTCAAACTGCAGCGGGAAGGCCAGGGAGGGTTGGGGGGCAGGAGGGAGGGGGGTAAGAGATCAACCGAAGGACTTGTATGCATGCATATAAGCATAACTAATGGACATAAGACACTGGGGGGTAAGGGAGGCCAGGGGATTGTCAAGGGCGGGGTGGGGGGGGAAGGACACATATGTAATACCCTTTGTAATACTTTTAGCAATAAAAAAAAAATAAAAATAAATTTAAAAAAATTACTATGCATCCTAGCTCTGGCCAGTGTGGCTCAGTTGGTTGAGCACCACCCCATCCAATGAAGGGTCATGGGTTCAATTCCCAGTCAGGGCACATACTCTGTGAGTTCTGTTCCCCATTGGGGTGTGTATGGGAGGCAAGTGAGCAACTGATCAATGTTTCTTTCTCACATTGATGTTTCTCTGTCTCTTCCTTTCTCTCTCACTCTCAAAAAAATTCAATTAAAATAAATAAAATTACTATGCATCCTAGAAATGGATACAAATGCATTATGAATCAAACTTCAGTGCTTCTACATATTTTTCATGTTACAATAGCACTTTTAAACCCATTTAAAGGCCTTCAAAGTATTCAGGGACTGTTTAGAAGAACAGTGTTCTTGCTCTAAGCATAAAAAAAGAATTAAAAAAGTGATTAATGAGGAAAACCAGACAGGAAGGATTTACAATATATCTTGTAAACAAGATGCAATTTGCTGTGTGACTAATCAATGAAGACAAACCATCATCCAGGAGATTGGCTAGAACCCAGCTGTCAGTAAAGGCAAAATGGAGCTGAGGCCTGGAAAAGGAGAAATAATCTCTGAGCAAAAGAAGGGGATGGAGGATTAGAATTAGGTAGAAATGAATTCAAGGCAAATTCACATTATAGATTCCACATATAAGTAGAATCTAATAAACAAAATAAATTGATAAACAAAATAGATCCAGAGACAAAGAAGCATGGAACAGACTGGCGAATCTCAGAGGGAATGAAGGAGGAGGGGAGGTGAGATTAACCAGAGAATTTATATGCATATATGCATAACCCATAGACACAGACACTAGTGCGGTGCAGGCCTGGTTGGGGCAGGGCAGAGCAGGATGGAGGGAGTCAATGGGAGGGGGGGATGGGGATATCTGTAATACTTTCAATAATAAAGGTAAATTAGAAAGAAATCATATTTTAGAGACTATAGTAGAACTGCAATGTTCTTTAAAGTCGAGGGGATTTTGGGTGGAGTCTCAATTGAACAAAAGAGTAGAGGAAAGATAGGACTAAAGAAGGGTCAGTTTCTCCAGGCTGAGCGTGGACTCCTCAGCAGGCAGAAATGGATAGTCCTGCTAATCCTGCAGGACAGGAGGCTTTCTTTGTCCACTGGGTGTGCTACAGATATGGAGCTTGAGCTCTGATCAGACCTCAGATGAACAGATGATATTTTTTGTTTGCTCAGGACATCTGACTTTGGGAAGCTCTTTTGATAGCTTATTATTGAGGTTCAGGTACGGGAACCGAGGAGATGGCTTCTGTTGGAGATGCTGTGGTGCCTGACTCCCGGGGGCATGGCTCCTTAGGGCAGGGCACAGGAGTGAGAGAGAAAGTAGAGAACCTGGCTCTTCATCATAGTTGATCCCTGTATTATTCCTTCTGCTAACCTGTTCTTACTTTTGAGAACAATTAAATATATTATCCATTCCAAGCTAAAAGATCCCAAAGCTCTTACCTTTCTTCATTAAGTGTGTTTTCTAATCCTCAAATTATATTGGCTTTATGACCTTGGGCAGGTCACTTAACCTATCTGAGCTTTATCCCACTTAACTCACAGGAGCGTGCAGAAGTGTTTTCTAATAAAAGTGTTTCTTGGCATTTGCAGTCACCGGCCGTGTTTGCAAAGATTTAAAATGCCTTCTCTTTTTCAGTATCTGCTTTTGCTTTTCCTTCCCAGAGTCGAAAACATGCAAGCAAAGTCCGACTGTACTACATGCTTCACCCCAGGGACGGTGGGTGTCCTGCCAAGAGGCTCCGGTCAGAAAATGTGAGTATCTGGCACCTTGTGATATCCTTAGGCAATTTGTTGTGTTTGCTAAGAACTTTGCAGATCAAGGAATTGTAGCCACATCCAGCTTAGTGGGAAAGCTGAGTGAGTGGAAACAGTTCTCATTAAGAATTATAAAAAATATTACATGTAAGCAAGCCTTCCCTTTTTCCTGCCAGAACTTGCCAATGTGGTAATGAGGACTTTTTGATGATAACTGTGCTGGGACCAGGCAGAGGTCCCTAAAGAATGCACAGAAGTGCCAGTACAGAGAGGGGCTGGGTGAGAGACAAGAGCCATCAGAAGACAGAGTAGGGGACATGACCTAAGAGGCAAACCTGCTAGAATAACAGATACTTTGCTTTTCACATATTTTATTTTCTCTTTGGTGTGTAAAACAGGATGCCAATCTGTTCATTTATGATGAGGACTGTACATATCTTGCAAATAAAAATAATCAGTTCTTTATTTCTGTGAGTCTGTTTGGTTTGTTCATTTGTTTTGATTTTCTAAGAAAAATTCCACGTATAAGTGAAATCATGTGGTATTTGCCTTTCTCTGTATGACTTATTTCAATTAACATGATACCTTTTACATCCATTCATGTTGTTGCAAAGGCAGGATTTCATTATTTTTATCACTGAGCAATATTATAATATATATAAACATCTTATTTATCCATTCAACCCATTCATCTAGCAATGGACACATAGGTTGCTTTCATATTTTGGCTATTACTAGTCATGCTGCAATGAATATAGGTGTGCATATTTTGAAAAAACTAGTGTTTTCATTTTCTTTGGATTAATACCCAGAAGTGCAATTGCTGGGTTGCATAGCAGCTCTATTTTTAGTTTTTTGAGGCATTTCCATGCTGTTTTCCATAGTGGCTGCACCAATTTGCAGTCCCACCAACAATGAGAGACATATTCATAGTCAGGAGAAACACTGAGGATTAAACACAGACATTCCTTACCCTCTGAGTCCGGAGGAGGCTGCAGGTATGGAATTTATACCCTTCTCAGCTTGTGATCCTGTTTCCTTTGCTGCCACATAGATGCTGGTCTTCTTTATAAAAAATTAATACATAATCATTGAAGAAACTTGACAAAAGCTGTACCTGTATATTCTTCACAAGGAAGAAACGAGAGAGTGAGAATGGCCTATGACCAAAGGCAGTGAGCGTCGGGGCTGGTGTTGTTAACACATTGCAAGCGTGCCTGTTAGCATCACGAAGTGAACTGCTCATACACAGATACTGGTAATCTGGAACACTGTGGAGTTTTCGTTTCTGCCTCAGTGAAGCAGCATTTAGAG